GCTCAAGCTGAAGTTCAGAAAATAAAGTATATTTATTGAAAAAAAAAAAAACAAAACCACAACACAAAACCAAACCCAGAACCAAAACCAATCACATGCCATGGAGCTGTAAATGTACACTGGACATATGTAGCATGACAGAACCAGAAGGGTTCAGCTCTGAAGTGATAAGCACAGCTCAGCTGCAAAGATAGAAAAAGCTAAAGAGGTAAGGCACTTCCCTTTGTAATTACAAAGGAAGCAGGAAAAAGCCATATCCCAGATAAAGAAATTACAATTAAGACATCTCCCTGAAGCTGACAGCACACATCCTCTGTGTGTGAAGAAGGTTTCCCTAGTAAGGAAGAATCAGGCTAAAGAAACGATTCTTGTCATCAGTTCTACCCATAAACCCATGGAAGCAATCCCACAAGTGAGCACCCAGGAGGGCCCTTGATGTTATAGTGATCTGCTTGTTTCTCACTTCTGTCACTGTTGCAACTCTCTCAACTCTACTTGATTTCCCTTCTGAGGGAAAAAGAGAGCATTACAGATGTTTCTGTAAAAAGTCCGAGAAGTAGCTTCCAACGGACTCTGAAGTTTTAATTATTTACTTGCCAGCAAAGACATCCTTCCTGGTTTTAGATTACAGGAGGGAAAGGAAGCAGAGATTGTTGTCTGGGTGCTGCCATATTCTACTAGTCCAAAAATTGGACATGGGAACTAAGCTGAAGTACAGTTCCCTCTGCTGAGGAAGCCAAGCCTCATCAGCATCCTCATTGAGGCAACACTGGCTTGGACCAAACTGTTAAGTTAATATTCTAAGCGCTCAATTACAGGGGCTATTTATATAGACTTCAGCTGGCAGACTCAGCCAAAGTACAGCCAGCTTGATGTACTTCTCTGGTCAGCTGAGAAAGAGACACTGCAGTGCTGATGGAGCCATGAACTTTAAAGTTATTCCCTCCCATTTGGAGGAGCATCCTACCACATAGCAATAAACTGACAGAGAAAGCCACTAAGCAGCAGCTTGAAGCCAGCTGTGCCCCCAGCAGCAAGTAGGGCAGTCAGAGCAGCGGGAGTGAGCAAGCAATGGGGATTTTTGTTAGGATTTCAGAAGGGGGTGGCTAGCAGTGCTCCTGCTAGTGCACACTGAAAGCGGTAAGCATAAGGGCATGGCTGCCTAAAAGGCAGGTGGCAGAGAACCATGCCTTAGCTTTGAAAGCAAAGGCAAAGCAGCATCTCTTCTGTTGCATCTAACCCCTACTGTTGGCAAGGAGAACACTCTCAGTAATTGAGGAGCACTGAGACTCAAGTGTGGAAAAGCTGCAAGGCTCCCTACTGCCACTGAACACCAGGTCCCTGATGCTTCCTTCAGCTTCATGACTGGGGAATGTGTTAACAACCTTGGCATGAAACCAGCCAGGAAAGATTCTCAGCAAGGGCAGAAGGCAAGATCATCTTACTCCAGGAGTCTGAAACTTGCTCTAGCCCACAGGGGTAGGGAGAGGGGAGCAACACACAGGGGACATCTCTGGGAAGATACATACCCCAACTGGTTCTACAAGCCGCATCAGGATTAGCAGATGTCTCAAGGGTTAATTAGTTCACCAGGCACAGATGGTAGCTGGTAGGGTTTGTGGAGTGGATTAACCTAATTTGTGGTTTGTAATGTTCCATGCAAATATCCATTACTAGACTTGCAGCAATTCTACCCTTATTTCGATTTGAGCAGAGAAAACCACACAATGATGGTAGCGGTGCCTTTTTTGAGTGACAAATGAGTTGCTGTTCATTCAGTTAATGCGATTGACAAATTGGAGTCCGGAAAGCAATTCCTTCCCTTTTTTGCTACAGAGGGTCTTTGGAGAGACCTAGATGAGACCATTTGTTGTGAGTGCACAGAATATGCCCATGGTAACCACTCCTCACAGTTGTACTGAGGTCTCTTCCGCATTAACAGATGGTCATAAAGCGGCAATTGCCTGGTAACATACAGGCAGCTTTCTGAGGCAGCTCTGCAGCATGTCAAGTAAAAGCCCACAAATCCAGAGTAACAAACAGCACATGTGGCAGTTCAGGCCACAGCAAACATCCATGCCTACACAGAGCCTCAGCTGCTTCAGAGGAGCTCCAGGTCTGTGAACTGACTGCAGGTCAAATCATTTATAATTAGATCATATCCAAGTAAAGGGCTGTGTGTTTACACAGCTCTTTGCACAAGAGGAAGCCAGGCTCAGGGCTGGCATGTAGAGGTACCCCAGAGCAGTGCTAGACTCCCTTCTGTTTAGTTAAGGACATGCCATGCTATTGCATTCGGTTCAGAAGGTCTCAAATGTTTACAACCAGTATCAGCTGCAGCAGTAAATGTTTCCATAACTCCTATTAAACTCTGAACTTGGATTAATTGTCTCTGCTCTAAGGAGCGAGCACAGGACTAGCTAGTCATGCATGCTGGCAAGGCAGAGGTCAGGCTAGAGGTGACATTGGCTGTCAGAGGCATTCCCCAAATGTTTCTGCAACAGGCCATGCTCATGTTGTGCCTGCACATGCCTGAGACACGGCAGCTGTGGGATTCCTGCTGGACTGTGTGGGACAGCTGTGCTTATGCCCCAGAGCCTCCTCCCAGCACATCTTTGGGCAAGGCAGAAGATGTGTTCACAGGCCTGATTTGCTGGGAGATGGTTGCATTTTAAAGTGCCTATTTGTCTCTTGGTTAAAGACAGAGTAGTGTCTGCAGCTAGAGGAAACTACATTTTGAAGCCGTTACCTTAAAAGGCTCTCACAGCACACCCTGGAAATTTGTGCTTATTTACCCCATCACTTGTCTGAGTGTCATAAAGCTGGTCTTTGTTAAAGGCTGCAACTACCAACTCCCTTGGCATATTCCTTCACTCATTGTGCGAGCACTCCCACAATATCCAGCTCTGAACAGAAGGAAGCATTCCTCCTCTGCTCTAAAATCAGGCAAGAGGATGGCTGGGAACAGAGTCCTTTTGTACAGCTCGTTTGGTCAGAGAGCTGCTTCACATTCCTCTTCATGCCAGCTAAATGAAGAAAGAGCATCCCTAAATCTCACTGTTTCCAAGCTGTAGCTGTGCAAGGGGCCAAGCACCTAGAAGTGGAGAAGAGGAAACGGTCCCAGAAAGAGACCTTGCAGCATGTGGAGGTGGGACAGTCAATGGAGGGAGCCTGACTTGAGCCTCCATCCCTCACAGGGGTGGAGGAACACATCGCTTGGGCAGGAGGCCAAAAAGAACCCAGCAGGGCAGCATCCAAAAATGGCATCTCAGCTACACTGACTCAATCCCTCTTCCCCTAATGCCATAGCAGATCAGCTCCAACTTCCCTCCAGAGCCACAAGAATGGAGGAGCAGCAGTTTCCTCACACTCCCAAAGCAATCCTCTCATCTCTTAGATTATTGCAACTCCTGTGCATGTCAACTGGTGCACTGAGCCCAAAGCTCTCCTGGTTTCCTAGTGCTGTTCTAGGTCACTGCTAAATCAGGTTGCCCCAGAGACTTCAGTGCTGTTTTTCAAAGGTCTTTACATGGCCCAAAACCCCCGGTGCTCAGGATGTGTCACTGCATCAGGAGCTCCCACACTCAGTTCTGCCTTCTACAGGGTCACTTCACCTTTATGGCCTGCTCCTCTAGAGAAAGTGCCGCTGCCAGTATAAGTCACAGGCCACCATGAACAAACACTACACTTGTAATACTACATTTAGGAGATCCTAGAAGTGCAATCCAGATAATCTTTGTATGAGATTAAGAGAATGAAGCATACCATAGTTTAGCACATTGGGCCAGCACCTAGTACCACACTTGCCTCTTCATTACCACAACAAACCTCAGGGAAAGGATACCTAAAATATTGGCTTGCAAAGGCAATATCCATTTGATGTACAGGACAACAGGCTGAAACAACAGCTTTGCTTTAGTACATCACTTAGCTTATTAGAGAGCTGCAGCTTAAAAGCTCTCATAATTAACCAACAGATCAATCTAGGCAGTGACATTCATTGGAGACCAGTATGTTATGTGCATCTTCTTTCCTTCCCAAAGATTAAGCCATTGCAGTGTTTTTTCATCATCTTAAAAAGCAAGAAGAAAGAAAACCCCTCCTCTCCCCTGTACACAGGCCAGAGTTTTCCACAAGTTGCTATGGGTTTGCAAGGCCTCTCTTTGGATGCCCTGAGTACAACTGGGAGCACCCAAGACTCCAAACAAAGTCAATGAGAGTTGCAGGTGCTCAATGCTGCTTGGGGAAAAAAAAAAAAGAATAAAAGGAAAAAAAAAAAAAGAGAGAAAACCCTGACAAATCCAGTGCAGCACAGCCAAACCCAGAGGCCCATAATTACATGTCCCTACTGAAAACACATCTGTAAAAATCACCAAGAGCTACAAGGGGAGGGGAAAAGTTGGATTTATGTAGTTTCAGATTAGGGTTTTATGGGACATTTGAATCCAGGAGTTTAAAAACAAAACACTGAGCTACAGCTTTTGAAGCAGCCCAAACCCAGACACAGGCATTGAAAGCATTTTGCATCAGAAGCTATATCAGATCCTTTTGGAAAAGCAAAGGTAAAAGATTCCAAGGAGAACAGAAAAGCATTCCCTTCCCCTCTGGAAAAGAATCCCAGCTCTCAGGCTGCATTTTGACTGTTCGCTCAGGTAAAGAAAGACTTATGAAAAAAATGAGAGAGAAATTTAACATAATTATCATCTCAGACTGAAGAAGGAGCTGTATAAACACATTCAGAGGAGAGCAGTCATTTTAACTGTAATACTATACGTGGTGGGTTTCTTCTCCTCTCCAGTGCAAAGAGCTGATGCCTGTCTCTAGCAGGCTTCAGCAACAAAAAGTTAAACTGCTACACATTTAACGTCACAGAAGGTAAAGGGAAGGTTTAAGGGGAGAGGTGTTGAAGAGGGGGTGGGATGAAGGGTGAAGGGGGCACACGGGAAGCTCCTCTCTGTAATCATGCAGTACATAGAGAGCCAGAAAGCCTGGTATCTTACCTGATTTTCTCTTTGAAGATCCATAGTCCCTGAAAAAAAGACAACAACAAATAGACATGGTTAGAGCTGGAAACGGTGGTGACAGAATGGGTGCCTCCCAGATTTCCACCCATATGCTCAAGAGCTCATCCTGTGCACTCCCTCCTTTAAAGAGGAGGTCGGGACTGCAAGGCATTGACAGGCAGGGACCAGGACGGATCCTGAGCAGCACCGGCTCATCATCAGCAGCAGCTGGGGCTTCTGCAGCACCAGGGGCTCGGGGAGCATGTGATCAACGAGACAGAGCAAACCATCCACAACCAGCAAGGCAGGGGAGAAGGGTGTCATTTTTTCCCCTTTAAATTGAGCTATTAAATGCACAGCTACTGAATTAACCCCTGACATTCCCCCGGAGAGGAAAGGGAATATTAACTGCTTGATGCAGGGGTGCGGCTGCTACAGGCTTATCTGGCACTGCGTGCAGTGCTCTCCTTTCAGAGGCTGATTAATTTGTGAATAACCTTGGAACCTCTCCTCATTATCTCTGACAAGCGTTTGTCTTCTGCAAGGAAAAACATCACCAAACCCCAAACTTTGTCCTTCTTCTTTCTTCCAGGATGGGGAATGACCCCGTACTTTTCTATAGTTATTAAAGGGTGCTGGCACCTTTGCTCGTGGCAGAACAGCTGAGAGCTCAGACAGCTGCTACAGAACTGGGAAGAAATTACAGAAGGGAGCTGCGGGAGCTGGTCTTGGATAAGCAGAGCTGAGGACAGAAATGCTTCACTATGGCTGTGCTTCTTCCCAGCACTTTCTCAGCCTCTGAGACTCAGCTCTGAAACGGTCTGCACAGGCAGGAGCCTGGGCAATGACAGATTGGGCAGACAGCACTGCTGCGTGGGCACAGTGCCTGGGGCACAGCCACACACTGTACCCGGAGGCATTAATGTTGGGAATACCACCTAATGAACCGCTCTAGAGGCAGGCTGTGTTTGAGGAATCCCACTGCAGGGGCAGGCAGCAGCTTCTAAATTTGGAGGGGGGGACAGGCTCTTAGAAGTGAGGTTTTGTCCATTGCAGCATGCTGTGTACTTCAGAGGAACCAGAGAAGGATTATCCTAAACTATGTATTTTATTTCAGGAGTTTGGGGAATCATCTAAGGAAGCAACATGTCTTAAGGGCAGAGGTATGTCCACCCATAAATTCTGTTTCTCCCAGAACTTTCCTTGGATCCCATGCTTGGATTCATGCCTTACATGTCTAGGATTTGCTTCCAAACAAACTGGGGGAAGTTTTTGCACCCTCTTTGGATTTTCCAGTGTCATTTCTTATTCAATTAAATAGTTGTTTTCTCAGCCACGTCTGCAGTTGCATTTGATATGAGGATGCTACTGCTCATGAATAGGCTGCTTTTTCTACACAAGTGATTTCATATAATGCCTGCTATATGGTGCCCAAAACAGAGATCCCTCAGAATGAGCCAGGGAAGGCACAATCCCCAAAACGTAGTCCTCCGCCCCGGCTCCGCTCCCACGCCAGCTTGGAGCTTTGTGGCTGCTGTCAATACAGCTCTCTTGGCACGCGAATGTCTGTGTTTGGTCCTGCCCTGTCCCAGCGCCCTGTCCCATTTATGGTAAGAAGGTGGAACCCTGCTGAGATCCCCACATATAACTTGCTTTGGCCTAGTGTCTCCATTGTACACATGCTTGATGATCATTTCAATACCTCCTGCCAGTCCCAACTTTCTGGTCAATGGCAAGCAGGGTGCCAACACAGGCAGTAACTGTTCATGTGAGCCAGGAGCTCTGCCCAGCAAACCCCATCACTGCTTCTCTCATGGCTTGTGCATGGTGAAAACCAACCTTGAGGTTAGTCTGAAGAGGGAAAAAGCCCCTTACTGTCACTGCAAAGTGCACAGCTGAGTAAATTAGGGTCAGCTACAAGAGGATGAAGTAGCAAGTAGCTCTCAGTAATGTCTCTTTGAGATCTGAAGGGTAATTAGCATCATCAGAGGATACAGAATGTATTCAGGCTCCTGAAGGCAGTTGAACCTACAACTTCTGGTTATGTTCTTAGTCTTAAGCACATGATCATCCTTACAGAAGAAATGAAATTATTATTACAAAATATATATGTGAATCGTCACTGCCCCCAAAGTCATGAGGGTTGCTCAGAAAAGAAATGAAGAAACCAATCAAGCTACTGGGCAAGTTTTCATCTTTTCATTTATTCTTGCTGTAAGGGTTAAAGCCAAGCTTTATCAGGTTTTGATTTTGGAGCTCCTGAAGTCCATGTACCCCATGTACTCCCTGCCTTGTCACTTTTTTGTACACCCACATTTCACTTATAAAATCAGGACAAAGCAGTATCAAATAAAACGGAGCTTGAAATAAAATCCTCATCTCCCCAGTGAAACTCTGAAAGTCAAAACTTGCTCCTCCCAGCGAGGATGGGAAAAAAAATTACTGCTGAAATAGAAAGCAAAGAAGGTACAGGAAATTATCTCTCTGCCTAAGTAAAGTGCTCTCTCTATACATATTCTTCTCCTCTTTTCTGCTAATAAAGAAAGCCTGTGCTGCTGCTTTGCAATAGCTTCCAGCAAGGAGCCCTGCCTGACTCCATGTTTATTTTTAAGTCCTATTATTCTGCATCTGCAAGATTCATTGATGTCTTTTCCCTTTCCCAAGTGACGATCTATAAGATGAATACCTCTCGGCCTCACTATTTTCAGAGGAGCATTATTGTGAGGCTGAAGTATCTGATTATGTCTCCAAAACAATTAAGGAAATTATTTAATGGTGTCTCATAACTGTAACAACTTCCAAGTAGAAACTCCAATCTTCTCCTTCAGTACAGCTTGCAGCTGGCACACTGCTAGACCTTAAATCAGACAAGAAACCTCGCCTTGCAGAAGAACAACCTTTCCAAGGAAAGGCATGACGAATGTCACATCTGCAGCTACCCAGAGAAGATTATTTTCTCTTCAGCTTTTCGTCTTTTTACCTCTCTATCTTTATAAACACACATATATTTCCATTATTCTCCTATTTCTGTATGAGAACAGATACCACCATCCTAATTTCCCTTCTAGCCATAGCTGCAAGAATAGCAGTGAAACCAGCAGATCTGAAAATAGCTCTGGCAGGTTCCTTCTTCATTAGCCAGGATCACTCCATACTGAACACATGCCTTTCACAAAAATAGTGTATTTCTAGCCTTTTTTTTTTGTATCAGAATATGGCAATTTTGTCTAAAGTCTTCCTGTGGAGCACCACATTCAGCTGACACTGAAATTCATTACTGGCAAGAAAAGTATTTCCTGCTGGTAACAATATTAAAATATCACTGGTGCCAAGCACATCACACAAGCTGGAAACACTCCTCTTTACTGACAAAGGAGAGGGAGGCTGGATCTCCTTTCTCATCAGCATTGCACCAGGATAACATTACTCATTTGAAAACTAGCAATGAATGTGAGAGGAAGACCACAAGCGTTACTACAGAGCTGATTGCCTTGTTATCACATTAAGCTATCCACAGTCTGGAAATCTGTGAAAAGATAAGAATATCTTATGTCATCGATTTTATATGTCACTTGCAATCTAATTTAATAGTGACCATTATATTAACAGTGTTATGGAAAAGCTTTATGGCACAATCTTTCTTTAGGGACATACTTGGCTGCTGTACCCAGTGAGAGTTGATAAGCACTGATGTATGTGTGTGGCATGTTTTTGTCTGTCTAGATACATATAGATACACACAAACAAGCAGTGGCACGACTGGAAAAGTTGTTTAACAAATGAGGGGTATCCTCACATTTGCTCAAATAAAGCCTAAGAAATATTCCAAGCGGAGAAGACTGGAGGTGACCAGATGTGTCTGTGACGGGCTGTGCCTATCTCTTTAGCTGTACTTCTAATTCAGTTTGATTTGTATCTATCCCAGAGGGTTTCTCCAGCAAGTCAGCAGAAGCCTCCTGCAGGAACAAGGAGAGTTTGCAGAGCAACAGTGCATCAAGAGGTACTACAAGGCTGCAACTTGGCTCCTGCACAGCTCCGCTCAGAGGTGATGTGTTAAGTCGGGGGACTTCATCCCTGTGGTACCCATGATGCAAAGGCTCTATCAAAAGCTTCTCCCCTTTGCCACGCGGCAGCAGACCCAGCAAGCTCACTCTGTGGGATTCCTCCTTTCTCAGGCACGTCACCTTTTAGCCCAGAGCCTCTGTCTGCCAGTAAAGCAAGGCTTGGCTTCAACTCATTTAGCAAAGTTTTCAGACAACTGTGAGTTTCAACCGTGAGAGAAAACAGTGCCTGCAATGCATGAGGAGCTGTCAGACCCACAGAGGAGCACGGCTGGGGGAGCTGCACAGCAGACATTTCATCAGACGAGACAGAAGCTAAAGGAAGAGTAAATCATCTTTCTGTCTGTTTCTCAGTGTTTGCTGTCCAAAGGAGACGAGACAGTGACAAACCCGGAGTAATGGAGGTTAATCTGTATCCTCCAGAGGATTTTAATACATAAATTAAAATTGTTCCGTATTTGTTTGCTTTCACTAATTCACGTTTAAATGCATTGTAGGTGTTTATGTTCCCATGCTCCTTAATTCCTAAAAGTCTCTAGTGGTGTGGGCAGGCTGCGGTGGAGATGTATGACATTTCAAACAAACAACTCAGATTATCATTTAATGGCCAATGATTTGCCAGGCAGATTAGAAGCACAGAAGTGTTTTAACAAGGAAGTCCAGTCTCTCCTTCCCAGCACTCATACAGTCTGCAGTCAGTAATGAAGACCACTTTTCCACAAACTATTTCTCTTAGCACTGCTATCAGATTCTGTGACTGTTTTTAAAGTAAGCCAATACAAAAATACTTTGCTACTGCTCTTTATGCACACAGAAACCTGAGCCTTGAGGATATATTTGCATCTTGAAACTCCTAACTTATTTTCCTCAACAGCCAGAGTGACATTTTCTATTTGAGACAATTGCTACAATATCAATTGTGACCAAGAACTGTCGCTAGTTGCCTGCCTATGGCTGAATACGTA